GAAGGAGGAGGAAGGTGGAGAGAGAAGGGGGAGTTGTCATTTGTCTTGCTGGTGTACCTCTTCTTCTTCTTCTTCTTCTTCTTCTTCTTTCTCTCTCCTCTGGTCCATATCTCTTTGCAAGTGCTTTCATTTCTTTCGCAATTTGGTGGCATTGTCTTTCATTGTGAATTGCACTTGGGAAATGACCAGGATCGTAACATCTCAGGCGAACAAGAAAAAAAACGACTTTGGACGAATCAATGGATGTGGGCGACTAAGGAAGATCTTGAAGAAGAAGTGGCTGTCATCAAGGCTCAAACTGAGAGACTGCGGAAATTGAATGAGGCATATTCACTGGAATTACTACGCTGGAGCAGATCGCAGAAGGAAAGACTCCTCATGTAAAAAGGTGTAATTGAGACAGCAAAAGCGGCCCTGAGCACCCTGATGGGAATCTGACCTTTGGCAACAGCACGCTTTGTGAGCCAGCACAAGGAATGGCAAGTAGCCACAGACGGTTCATTCACACTGCCAAAATTTGAAGAAGGTCAAAATCCAATGTCTGTCAGCCACCAAAACATTGTTGACGCATTTCCCTTAGGGGTATTTAAAACTTGGGATGCGGATAATGTGCACACTGGAGGCTTGAGCTGACATCCATCCCATACAGAGTCCTAGCAGGTCATCAAGTTCCAGCAGAATCGATTGCAGCATGGTGACCTCCATCATTCGGGAAGGAACACTCGGAGGGGATGACGAGTGTCTCCTTGTCAAGAAGATGCTCAGGAGTCAGGATTTTGATTCCCTTGAGCGGAATTTGTGTGTGAATGTTCTCGTTATCGAGTTGCGGTCCAGCTTGGTTCATTTTCCGCCAACCTGGCCACTGCAGATGAATTTCTGTGTCTGGCACTGACTGCTTACATCTTTGCTTCGTGGGTTTGGGGATTGTCGTGTCACCCACAGGCTAGGACAGGATCCTGCCCTTTGATTTTTATTTTTCTTTACTGGAGGCTCGGGTCCCTCAATTTGAGAGATGATTTGTTTGTTGTGCTCGGCTGTATGCAGCTTGAAGATGGAGGAGTTGCAAGTGGTGGTCTGCGGCATCTGATCCCATCAATTGCAAGAGCCTGTGTAGCTGTTGGAGTGGATGGACTCTTCATGGAGGTAAATGAATCACAAAAGGAAGGCAGTTATGCATGATATTTTCTTGCTGAATTGCCGCAACTGCAAAATGTTATGGTACTGTCAGGACCTGTGCTGCTCTCCATTACAGAATGAAATGTTTCTCAAGAAAGTAACATTGAATTTGAAATTTGAAAATAGAAAAGGGGTCCTCAGGACCCTCAGAGATCGCAGAAAAGTAGTTGCAATGAATGGCGTCCTACTTATGCCAAAAGAACAACTCCAAAAAAAAATGAAGGGAAGCTAGGCTACCAGAGTCGCCCAGGCCCACCTGCACGGGCCACCCTGGCAAGCTGAAAAATGAGGTTTTCTTTCCCAAGAACTCATGGTGGAGCATTTCTGTGCCCATCTCGATGTGCCCTAATCAAACCTCATCTTCGAATTTGGTAATGTCTGACCTTATGGGGCTGGAGGGTATAATCAGGGTTTAAATGGGTGCAAACGAAGTTTATATGCAATCAGACTCGCTTTCATTCACACTTTACATGAATGCAAACAGCAGCGCAGCAAACTGGCGACATGCGCTCACTCAAAACTCAGAGATATGGTAACCCAGATATGAGTTCACTTCCAATGGCTATGGCGACATTGCGCCCATACAACTCTCTGTTCGCATGCAGTGGATCACCCTGGATATCCCACACGCGTCTCCCTGAACACACACACACACGCACTGACCAGCTATGGCGGCTATGGCCGCCTCTACCCTATCGCTATGGCTAAGCTCCGTCTCTCTGCCCACTTCGTCCTCGGGCGTCACTGCAGACCTCTTTGCACAAGTCGATGTGGCAGCGCTTCCGCATGGCTCATGCAGGAATGAAAATAATGGCTGGACGCTGCCTCTTGATTTATACTTCTGCAGTGCGTTGGTCTGGTCCCTTTCCTTGCCCGAAGTGCACACAGTCCCATGCGGTACTTGCTGGACTGGACCAGGACTTCCTAGGACTGGGACTGCTCACTCAGCACGGGCAGACTCCACCACTTGCCTCGCCACTTGCCCACTTGCCTTAGTCTAAGTGTGGGACATTCCGAAAGGCCACTACTCAGACCTTCCGGAAGGCCATGGACTTGGCCTTTCGGTACTGTAGCAGCTACGACTTTGACCCTTCGGGACTGTAGCAGCTACGACTCTGACTCTTCGAGAAGACTACAGCTACGACCGCTAGACCTGACTTGGACTCCTATCCGACAGGTTATCGAACCCATGCTACCGACGGACCCTATGACAACCTATCGACTGTTAGAAATGCACAGGTCGCGGGTTCAACTCTACGGGTTGACACAGGTACTGTACAAGGTAAGGTGGGGGCTAGGGATCGAGCCCTGGGATCTGCATCAGCTACCGCGAACTGGTGAATACCGTTTCACTCCCGCCGTCCTAAATTTGAGGTCCTCCGAGAATAGTTCAGTCCAAGGCAGGACCTTTACCTTTCTTGTCCCTCTCGTAGGCTCTAACTATATCGGGAGCTGTTTCTAGAAGTTCTGATCTCGCGAACCAGCGGTCATCCTCCGGTTCCTGATAAGCGAACTGGACCTTGTACTGTTTCTGTGGACGACCTCTACCTCCGGTTCTGAACACATCTTCACCTACAATGCCGTCAATGTCATATCTGCCATCCATGTCTGATGGAATCATGGACCGCCTAGATGGGAACTGTTGACTGGTGACACACGACAGCAACTTTGATGCGTGAAAAACAGGGTAAGTATGGAGGTGTGCTGGGATCTCTATAGTGTAGGACGGTCCATCCTCTCCGCCCTTAACTTCTAGAACTGGCCACGGTCCTCTATACGCGGGCAGTAACTTCTGCGAGATGTTCTCCTCAGGCGCAAACTCTTTAGACTTGACCCAGACCAGGTTGCCTACCTGAAACTGCGATGGGTGACGGTGCTTATTAGCCTGTTCTATCATGTGGTGCTGGGCCTTCCTGAGGTTCTCAACAACAGTTGCTATCTCTTTCTCGTGCTGTATTAAGAACTCCCTGGTACCGGGCGGTAGCCTGTGAATCTGATCCCGGTTCAGCCCTTCAAACGGTCTGCGCGGTCTAAAGGACTTGTGCAACTCATTGGGAGTGCGACAGGTGGACAAATGCACACTGTTGTTATAAGCACTAGCTACCTTGGGTAACATCTCGTCCCAGTTGATCTGATCTGGTGTAATGTACATGCGCAGAATTTGCTGCAGGATCTTGTTCATCTGCTCAGTCTGACCGTTAGTTTCTGGATGGCAGCCAGACGACATCAACAACTTTGACCCATAAACTTTCATGAGTTCCTGCCAGTTCTGGCTAGTGAAGCGACTATCTCTATCGCTAACTATAGATAATGGGACTCCATGTTCACTGACCCAAAAATCAAAGAACTTCTGAATGACTAATTAGGTGCGTGCCTCTGCAGGCAAAGGAACAAAAACAACATACTTGCTAAAACGGTCAACTATGACCATGACTTGGGTTCTGCCATGCCTACTCTTGACCTGAGTATCCATGAAGTCTATGGACACTGAGTCTCCAGGCTGATCAGGAATAGGCAAAGGTCTGGAAAGACCTAGAGGTGCGCGCGTAGTAGTCTTATTCCGTTGGCATACTTTACAACTGTGAACATACTCTATGCAGTTGTTCTTCATTCCTGGCCAGGTGTACGCACGCATCAGATTGGCTAATGTCTTTTGCCAACCAAAGTGTCCCTCTGTGTCATGGCATTCCCCTAGGATCAGACTACGGATCTCCTCACTGTTGGGAACACATAGACGGTCTACCACGTTAGTCTTCTCAAACAGCAACCCGTCTGTAGTGCGGTAATCTGGTTCAGTCTCTGGGACCTCTCTAACTCTCTTTAGGAGGTCACTATAAATAGGGTCCTGCGCATACGCCTGTCTAACTTTCTCCTGCGGGTCATTCCCTATGTCCAGGTAGTGAACTACGGCTCCAAAGTAGTCTGATCTCCTACTCAGAGCGTCCGCAACTACATTGTACTTGCCCTTTACTAGTTTGAGCTCAAAGTCATATTGGTCTATCTCAGCGGCCCACCTAGTTAACTTAGGTGTCATCTTGGCCTGAGTCTTTAACCACCTCAGTGTCTCGTGGTCTGAGTAGACTTTGAAGTGCCTCCCAAGTAGGTAGTGTTTCCAATGCTCTAAAGCCTGCCTGAGAGCGTAGAGTTCCCTCTCGTACGTCGAGGTAGCAACCTTCTCTGACGGCATCCTCGCTGACATGAACTGCACGGGTCTATAGCCATTGTCGTCGTCCTGGTGTAACACGACGCCTATCCCATACTGACTCGCGTCCGTGGTGATGACAAATGGCAAAGACGGATCTGCTACTTTGAGGACAGGGTACTCTATTAACGAGCACTTTAACTTCTTAAGCGCAGGCGTACAATCTTTATCCCACTGCCAGATTGCCTCTTTCTTAAGCAACCTGAGCAAGGGAGCGGCGATAGTAGAGAAGTTCCTTACGAACTTCCTGTAATAGTTAGCTAGGCCTAGGAACGACCGCAACTCTGTCAATGTGTGGGGCGTCGGCCAATCTCTAATTGCCGCTATCTTACTGTCCTCAGGCTTAATGCCATCTCCATCTAATATGTGGCCCAAGTACAAAACTTGTGTCTTGGCCCACTCGCACTTCTTCGCGTTGATCTTGAAGTTTGACACTCTCAACTTCTCCAAGACCTGCCTCAGATGACCCTGGTGCTCTTGGAGGGTCCTACTAAAAACTAAGATGTCGTCTAAGTAGACTACGACGAACCTATCCAACCAAGGTCTAAACAGATCATTCATACAACGCTGAAACGTAGCTGGCGCGTTGGTCAGTCCAAAGGGCATCACTATGAACTCGTAATGCCCGTACCTAGTCCGGAAGGCAGTCTTGTACTGATCATCAGGATGGACCTCTATCTGATGATAACCGGACTTCAAATCTATCTTTGAGAAATACTTGCACCCCTGCACCCGATCCAAAAGATCGTCTATCCTGGCCAGCGGCTCAGCATTCTTGACTGTGATAGCATTCAGACCCCTATAGTCTATACACATTCTCAACTCTCCTTCCTTCTTGGGGACAAATAAGACGGGTGCTCCAAAAGGAGATGAACTGGGCCTAATCCAACCCTTCTCAAGGAGCTCGTCCAACTGCTTGCGTAGCTCCTCTAACTCTCTAGGGGACATCCTGTAGATCGCTCCCTTAGGAGTTCGACTGCCAGGCTCTATCTCTATCCTGTGTTGGATCGGCCGCGGCACTACTCCTGTCGGCGGCTCAGACAAGTCTTTAAACTCTTCCAGCAGCTTGGCAATGGTTGGATCCATGGAACTATCCCCTTCCTTAGGCTCAGTGACAGGTCTGATATATACTACGAAGACCTGATCCTCTAATTGCTCCTTTTTCACTAGTCGCGCGAACGTGGGAGCCCCGAGACAGCAGTGTGCCAGAGTGTTGTCTACACCTGACACATGAAACAGGCGGGCAGTCTTAACCTCGCCTGACGGACTAGGGAGCCTACACTCATGCTCTCTCAAATGGAGTGTGGCCCTTGCTGCCTCTCCCCAGTCCATACCTAGGACTATGTCAAATGGAAGGTCATCCTGTACGAGGAGAGTCAGGGACTGGAGAATTTTCTCCACCTTCCCGTCTTTCTCTAGGCGGAAGTACGCCTGGACTCCCTCTACGTAGTCCTCAACTCGCATTGTGCGGTTGTCTGCTAGGACACTGACTATGGGGTCTGCCAACTTTTGGACTTTCAATCCTAGCCTCGGCTTCTTCAACGCTTTACGGCTAATGTAGCTACGGGTAGCCCCTGAGTCTATAAGGGCCCCTGCTCTACTCCTGAAAACCTCTACATCAACTAAAATTAGTTGTCCCTTACTCTTGCAAGGAACCCGACTGTTCACACTTGCGGGAGTGACTCATTTGCATGCCCACATGTCACCAAACATAGATGGGATAGCTTCACACAAAGCTCAAAGTTGAGATGAGAGAAGAACCAAG